GAGTAGAAACGTTTGGTGGCAGCAGACAGGGAAGATGTTGTTGAAAAGGAAAAGAGGAAGATTGTAAAAAAGAAACAGTGAAGAAGAAAGATGGTTATGACTGAGGGAACAAGAGGAGAAGAAGATGTGGAAAGCGCATGCACGAAGACTAGATTATTCTGGAGGAGCGAGAAAAGAGAACAGTGGGAAAAGTAGGAAATATAAGGGAGCGAAATGGGCCCCACCCCGCCCATTTCCGTGAGGTCCTGCCTCTCATGAAGGGAGCTACGACCCCTCCGAGGCCCCATAGGGGACCGTGTTTTTTTGGGTTTTTTTTATTGAGGAAAACCCCCGAGTCCTGCGGCTTTCGCGCACAGGACTAGGGGGGAAAAACCTCAGGAAGGAAAGGAAGTCGGGTCGAGGGACAAGAAAAACGAACAAGGGGGAAGGTGAAGTTAAACGCGAAAAAGCTAAGATAAATTAAACGCGAAAAAGCTAAGGTAAGTTAAACGACGAGAGATTAGTAATATAAATACTATTAGAAATATATTAAAATATAACTACAATATAATATACGTGTGGTATGTTTCATGCGCTACCACTTTGGACGTTTCATTTTCCAAAAAACATTTTACAAACTTAATTTTTAAGGATATAATAGGAGGAGAGTGATGGAGATATAGGAAGGAATAGGAGATTCGAAAAAGTGTATAAGTGTTACAAGATAATTTATTGGACAAACGCAATAATGATACAATATACAAAGTACAGATGTATGTACATATATGGTTTGCAAAAAATTAGTAATAACAATGCCATTAGAGATATTATTAAAAATATATTAAAATATATGCGATATAATACACGTGAGGTATGTTACATGCGCTACCACTTTGGACTTTTCTTTTTCCAAAAGACATTTTAAATACTTAGATTTTAAGGATATATTAGGAGTAGAGTGCTGGAGACATAGGAAGGAGTAGGAGACTCACAAATTGAGTAGAAACGTTTGGTGGCAGCAGACAGGGAAGATGTTGTTGAAAAGGAAAAGAGGAAGATTGTAAAAAAGAAACAGTGAAGAAGAAAGATGGTTATGACTGAGGGAACAAGAGGAGAAGAAGATGTGGAAAGCGCATGCACGAAGACTAGATTATTCTGGAGGAGCGAGAAAAGAGAACAGTGGGAAAAGTAGGAAATATAAGGGAGCGAAATGGGCCCCACCCCGCCCATTTCCGTGAGGTCCTGCCTCTCATGAAGGGAGCTACGACCCCTCCGAGGCCCCATAGGGGACCGTGTTTTTTTGGGTTTTTTTTATTGAGGAAAACCCCCGAGTCCTGCGGCTTTCGCGCACAGGACTAGGGGGGAAAAACCTCAGGAAGGAAAGGAAGTCGGGTCGAGGGACAAGAAAAACGAACAAGGGGGAAGGTGAAGTTAAACGCGAAAAAGCTAAGATAAATTAAACGCGAAAAAGCTAAGGTAAGTTAAACGCAAAAGGGACAAGTAAAACGCGAAAGGTCTACCCTTAGTCAAGATTCACCGCAACGAAAGACCGCGGGCGTAGCACCCAGCGAACCCTTGCGGGCACGCCGGGACATCCGGAAGGACGATATTTAACGCTACAACCTCCGTCCCTTCCCACGGGCGAGCCCAGTGGGTTAGACGTAAGGAGCCACGCCCGCCGCCGGCGGCGGGCCCCGTTAGCCATCGATCCACGCGCAAAATGTCTCCGACAGAGGGTGACTTTATACTAGCGGGTGCTCAATAGCACCCGCACCTATCCCAAGTGAAGTGACCCCCAAGCACAAGCACAGATAGGACTTTACCCAAAGTCAACGGACTACCCCTCCGACCTCCCCACGGACAAATAGGATCGTCTCTACCCACACAAGTGCCCAAGGGTCAAGACATGTTGGGACGTTTTTAGCAAAGCGAACAAATGATACTAAATACGCGAGAGCTAGACACCTGGCTAGATTCACTATACGAAAGACCATGGCCGTAGATACCCTAAGGGGGCTCAAGGCCCCCGTCGGGAGACCCATAAGGTCCTGTTGCGGCCACAACTTGGGCCACCAACCACTGAGCAAGCTCAGCGGAAGAGGCGGAAGGGCAACCCCCGACACCATGGTCTTAAGTCTAGCTGCACTAACCGGATGACTACTCTTATATCACTACTTGAATTAATATGCTCGACCCGACCAAAGGAATAGGGAAAGTAAGACAAACACAATGGAAAGTGAGAGGGAACAAAGCGAAACGAGAACAAAAAAATGATGATAGAAATGAAGAATTGAAGAAGTAGAAAAGTTAGGAATAAAGTTATAAAATTGGAGAAGAAATGAGGAAAGAGATAAATAAGAAAGTAAAAAATGAAAGATAAAGGAATAAGTAATTAAAGAAGAAATAAATATAGAAGAAGAAGAAGGTTGTGAATGGATATAGAAATAAAGAAGTGAGAATAAGATAATAAGAAAGAAATGAATATAGAAATGAAGAAGCGAAGAAGTAGAAAAGTAAGGAATAAAGTTATAAAAGTGGAGAAGAAATGAGGAAAGAGATACATACGAAAGTGAAGAATGAAAGATAAAGAAATAAGGAATTAAAGAATAAATAAATATAGAAGAAGAAGAAGGTTGTAAATGGATATAGAAATAAAGAAGTGAGAATAAGATAATAAGAAAGAAATGAATATAGAAATGAAGAAGCGAAGAAGTAGAAAAGTAAGGAATAAAGTTATAAAAGGGGAGAAGAAATGAGGAAAGAGATACATACGAAAGTGAAGAATGAAAGATAAAGAAATAAGGAATTAAAGAATAAATAAATATAGAAGAAGAAGAAGGTTGTAAATGGATATAGAAATAAAGAAGTGAGAATAAGATAATAAGAAAGAAATGAATATAGAAATGAAGAAGCGAAGAAGTAGAAAAGTAAGGAATAAAGTTATAAAAGGGGAGAAGAAATGAGGAAAGAGATACATACGAAAGTGAAGAATGAAAGATAAAGAAATAAGGAATTAAAGAATAAATAAATATAGAAGAAGAAGAAGGTTGTAAATGGATATAGAAATAAAGAAGTGAGAATAAGATAATAAGAAAGAAATGAATATAGAAATGAAGAAGCGAAGAAGTAGAAAAGTAAGGAATAAAGTTATAAAAGGGGAGAAGAAATGAGGAAAGAGATACATACGAAAGTGAAGAATGAAAGATAAAGAAATAAGGAATTAAAGAATAAATAAATATAGAAGAAGAAGAAGGTTGTAAATGGATATAGAAATAAAGAAGTGAGAATAAGATAATAAGAAAGAAATGAATATAGAAATGAAGAAGCGAAGAAGTAGAAAAGTAAGGAATAAAGTTATAAAAGTGGAGAAGAAATGATAAATAAGAAAGTGAAGAATGAAGGATAAAGAAATAAGGAAGTAAAGAAGAAATAAATATAAAAATAGGAGAAGGTTCGAAATGATTCCAAGAGACCAGTATAGGAGACCGGCTCGAGGAAGAATGAGCGCTCGGAGTCCGGGCGCTGCCTCGAGCGCTTCCCCCACCATCCGCCTGCTGCCGCTCACGCAGTCCTGCGCGACGAACTTGCGCGCGCACAATTTTAGGCATCTTTCAGTACTTCTAAATATTCTTGGCCACAATTTCCGATTTCTAAGTGTTAATATTTTACTTTATTGATTTAATTAATTATTTTAATGTTCTAAGCACCTAGTTTATTAATATTTCAATTTCAGCGTAATTTATTTTCGATAATCTACAATTTCAATTGAATTTTTATATACTCCATATATTCTGCGAAATTTTGATTTAGCCTGAATTTTATATTTTGAATAAATTTGGAAAGAAAATCAAGTCCAATGATATTTAGCAAAAATTAACGTGCTACACGAGTGTCAAGTTGGAACGGCACAGGTTCACCCCGCGAAAATGCAATTCTTGGAAAATTTCGATAGAAGTTCTTTATTGGCCTAGTATAAGATCGCTGGATGGCACTGCTCAGGAGCTGCAGTAGCTGCAAGGTTGAGTATAAAAGGGAAGATAAAACATATGTATGAGGAAAAAAATGTTATTTCTTGGAAATAAACGTTCTATTACAAATGGCATTCGTCACGTGTACAGCTGAATAGTATACCTTTTTTGTCAGTCACAACTTTCCATAAATATCAAGTAGTAACTTTATTGCGGTAAAATATATTGAGCAATATAATCTTCCAACTTTGCTAGTCTCTAAGCATATAAACAACTGTGCAATGATTCGTATTACGTATTACCGATTTTAAAATTCTGGTAGTGTCTTCCTCTCGTGCGCACTAATTTCCGAGTGCCAAACGTCCACGATTAATACCAGACGATAGCTAGAACCATTGTGCCAATCTTCGTGTTCAAAGCTGTCGTCGAACACAATAATCTTTCCATCTCTCCATTCTCTGAAAATATTTAAAAAATTACATGACATCAAAAGATAAGAAGAAAATATGCTAAGCAATGGAATATAAGTAAAACTCACCTAGTTTCATTGCCGACTCTTAGAAATGCTCCTTTCAGACCACGAAGTCCCGGATGAAAACGTAAACGATGATCCAATGGACCACAGTGTGGCCAAACATGAGTGTTTGGAGTCATAACTGAAAATTTCGTTTGTCCTCTACGACATTGCGCAACTGGTGGAAATTGTGATACAAGAGAACAAGTCCGTGGCGTTTCTTTACAAATCTCTTCATTTCTTCGACCTGGAAAATTTTAAACGAAGGAAATCAACGATATTATAGCTATTAAACTACTCACAATAAGACCTACCTTTGTCATTTGCGCGCGTTCAATGAAATGACTCATTTTACTTGTTTTAATAAAATGATATTTAAAAAATTTACCTCTGGCATATAATTGAAATTCTTTCCAATCTCCTACATCCATAAGATTTTCCTGTTCTTTTTTAAAGCTACCACGCTTTAAGAATACGGCTTGCCCTTCCGCCTTAATAATTTTGGCGGAGGGCAACTCCATCGTGTAGCCATTTGCTCAAAGTTACTTCGAGAACTTCCTTTGTAAATTTCCACCTAATAAAAGGCAAATATAAAGTATACTCCATGCCTATTGTCATTACAACATATTATCCTTATTCTAATAAAATGTACAATAACAAGTTTAAATACATACTTATTTTGAATCAAGTAAGTGATCGTTAATTCATTTCTATATGAAGACTCACTGGGGAGTCTTTCTATTAAAGCTTAATGGATGCGTTCCGCTTTCTCGTGTTGTTCTGTGAAAGAAATCTAATAATAAAAATAATAATCAAGCAGATATTTATTATTCAACTTACCCAATTAACGCATATTCCTAAGGCAATTTTCAACAGCAGCTTTAAAAATCTCTTGTGGTACTTTCTCTCCAAAATCGATAACATTTTCTTAGTGCGCAATCGATCGTCGAAGATAATTAATGTTTCTTGTCTGCTTTGACAAGTCATGAAGTGCTGTGGCTAGTTGATATTGTCATCGAAGTGATTTTGGATATTGCGCCAGAAGATGGGAGAAATATTTCACTTGATCTTCAGCCTTGGTGGAGAATACGGTAGGAGGGAGGATTTTATTCGTAGGATATTTTAGGACAATTTTGGAATTGTGATATTATTGTGATTTTCCAGCATTAAGAGATTTTTCGTGCTTGTCATCATAGAAATAGCCAATCCGTGCATCACAGTGAAACCGAGATGCATGTTACAAGAATTAACGATTACTTTCATAAACATTAATTCGCAATGATTTTTTACATTATTAAAAAGGATAAATATAAGATCAAACATTCAATTCATTCGTGGGTCATGGAAAATATTGATTGCCGAGCAAACGATACATAATTATTGTTTAGATAATTGTTCACACAAAAGATCACAAAAAATGAAACAGCACGTGAATGGGATTTTACGTTGTTATATTTTAAATAATAGGATTTTTCAAGGGGTAGGTTAAAATGGGAGTGTAAAAGCAAAAAAAAAATAATGTTAGTTTCTTTACTCTTTATCCTAAACATAAAAATTTGTAAGAAAATATTGAACCAGTATTCTTCTTGATGGTAAATGTGGGTGCAAAGAATACTGGTGCAAAATTGTACAAATTTTTATAATGTCATATAAGTGCAAAATATGATATAATATCGATAGTAAAAGTTCTCAAGCTAGTCAAGCGACATTCGTTCCATTCTGATGAAATTTCATGATTTTCAGAGACATCATTATTGTATAACAAGATTAGTGAACAATGACACTACAAAAAATTAATATTATAGTTAAAATGTGTATGGAATTGACAAAGGTGATGTTCAGTAATAGGTGAAATTAATCATCGTGTTCCTAAAGATATGGAAAAGTTATTAAACATCATTGGAATTTATGTATTCCGTCATATCCTCATTAAACGACTTTGAATTAGGAATAAAATTCGTTTAAATGTCGATATGGATATATTTTTTTTAAACTATATAAATTTTTATACTTATAAAATTGTAAAATATTAATTTGACATACCTTGGTGATTTCAGAGTGAACATCTTCCCTAATGATAACATCCTCTGGATTAGAGATGCTGATCAATTCAATGTCTTTTGCGCCACCACCTTGTTTTTCTTTTTGCACTGGTTTTGAAACAGACTTAGGTTCGTCCTCGGACTCAGATTGAGATTCTTTCGGTGCTTTGACACCTACATGTAATAGAGTAAAAAATAATTATGAATTGGCATACATATCTATGAAAATTTGTGTTTAAATGAGATGGATATTTGTTTTTAAAAAATAGTCTTGACAAACAAAAGTTTTCAGTACATTTCTTGTAAAAATATGACTATTTTAATACGTTACTGAACCGAATTATTCGTGGACAAGTACATATATATAGACAGTTTACATAAATTGCTAAAGCTACACAAATATAATTATAATAATGCCAATATTAGTAATCCTATTATTATTTTCGCTTAGTAGTAATTAAAAAAAAAAGTACTTGACCTATAATTTGGATCCTCCATGCTCGCAATGTTACATTTATTAATTAATAATCACTGTTCTATAAATTGCTTAGCGTATCAGATATTTTACACGAACCTCGATATACAATACAGTGGAGTCTCTCACAAGTTACATTCTTCTAGCTTAAGGATCTCTGCTTATCTCAAGCACGAGCGTTTCAAGTACGTGACTGGTAATTCACTTAGCTTAGCTGTGAGAGACTCCGCTGCACTGTTTAAAATAACAAATGATTTTAGACAAATGAGAAAAATTGAGTCGCATATCTGAGGTGTAATTAAAATTTAAGCTGAATGAGATGAATTTTAATGTCCAAGTAAAAGCCATGCGTTGAAGCTTGAAGCATGAAAATATATGTAAAAAAAATAAATAGCATAAATTGTCAAGAAATGTACAAAAAGTCTTGATTATTTTCTAATTCTCTAGGAAAACAGAAAAATAACGAATTCGAAAATCAAACTCGCGTCCACAGTGAATCAGTTTACATACAGTTTATTTGTTTGTCTATTTACGTTTCCATCCTTGAATATCATCGTCTTCTTCATCCTCCTCCAGTCCTTCCTCTCCCTCTTCCTCTTCTTCCTCCTCTTCGTCCTCCTCCTCCTCCTCCTCTTCGTCCTCCACTTCACTCTCAGGTGGTGTTGGCAATTTTCCGTATTTCGCTTCTAGTTTAGCCACCAAGTCACTGTCGTCGATGTCATCGACTTCGTCTTCTTCCTCTTCTTCGTCTTCGTCTTCGTCCGTACCGGAAATCCGTTCGCCCTCCGAGGTCTCAAGCTCTTCCTCTTCTTCCTCCGATGTCTCTTTTGCGGTGTCTTTCGGCAGTGATTTTAACTCTGTTTTATCAAGAGAATATCAAATTTAAGAATTTTCGAAAATAATTAACATTAATAGTATTTAATTTTTCATACGAGTTACATTCGTCATTTTTTCTTGGTATTTCATTCTTAACATTGCCTAATTGTTTCCCCAAGACTTAAGAGCCATTTCGCACCTTCTCCAGCGGGGCTCCTTTCCGACCAAATATCTTTTGCCGACATTTTTTCCACCCCCAAGCCAGCAGTCTTTGCGAACACATTCTCAGTATCGCCCTCCGCCTCGAGACTCTTGTATTTCGATTTCAAATCTTCATAGGTCTGAGAAACTTTTTGAATTTCAAACTTTTCGCCGTGCCCTCCCACGTCGATGGTCGAAGCGATTTGCTCAATGCTTTGCGGTGGAGGGACGATGGTGTTTCGTCTCGACAAATCAGGGACGCCACTTTCGTTCTCAGCTGTCCTTTCGAAAACGTTAAAAATCTCTTGATTTATCTCCTTAAATACGTTGATTTTCTTTTATAAATTGCTAGGAAACCAAACATATGCTCCGATAATGCAGGGAATCAATTAAATGCAAAATTGATGTGTCAGTTCTGCCCACATATAACTCAAGTAAAGAAAAAACGTATCGGATAATGTGCAAATCCACTTACCTTAGTTATCCCAACATGAAGTTAAACAAATTAAGAAACTGCAGTTGGATTTGTATATAAAGAAAATGAGTCGGTAATATGTTAGTTCAAGATGGTAAAATGGTAGCAAACAACATGCTGCTTTTATGTTAAACAAAAATTGCAAAAAACATATTATCACTCAAGCGCACTGAACGTAACGATACATGTAAAAACTTTCGTGGAGTTTCACCTAAAATACAGGGTGCAACTAGATATTGTGTAAACGATTATTAATAAAAACAAAAAAAAAAGAAGAAGAGACTGACAATAAAAAATAAAAACGCCCTCGATGGATTAATTAACGCGACATTTAAATAATATACACATATAGATATATATATATAGCTCAGTGTTAGGGGCGCAAGAGATATGCAACAGAATTGTTATTTTTTACCGTTGTTCCATCGCCTAACGAGTACGAAATGCGCAGCAACAACAAGCGCAACGCCAACTCCGAACTTCACTGCCACTGTAACCACCATACTTCATTTTTTCACTTAATCTATTTCATATAGTACTAGACATTGCTATGCGTCGTGAAAAAAAATTTTGGATCTGAGTCTGCCTTTGAGTCAAAATTTTCTTTATCGATGTGACGATAACGAGCATGGAGGACCTTTTTTTTAATAAACAAAATTTAAAACAATATATGCAATTTCGCAAGGATGTATGAAATAATCACTCACCGCCAGTTGACTCTTCCTCGATCTCTTCTGGTTCCGGCTCTATTTCCGCTTCGTTAATAACCTCTTCCGGTTCTTCATCTTCAACCTATTCATGTGAAATGTGATTTATTAATTTTGTGGAAATATTTTCAGTTATCATATACATATGTTAATACTAGGAATAATTAAATAGTTTGAAGATTTTGAGAATTATATGGTTGAATTCAAATATTTAGAGTGGTTCAAAGGCATACAAATTTCTTAGAGCTGCATCGGGATGTCCAATTGGTAAAAAGATATGCACCAAAATATTTTAGGTACGACTGCATAGCATACGCAACGTTTTTCAGGGTTCGTATCGCGTATTTACGTTGTTATGTCTCATGAGAAACTCGTTAATTTGATATGTAATACAACAATGGAATAACATTCGTCATATCGAGACATGCCCTAGGCATTTGCCATTTTATAAAATGTAAGATGTAGAACAAACGTTTTTTGGGTGACAATGACAACACACGTAACATTTCCGGAAGGTTTAAACGAATGCACAGTGGAAAAAAAGGCCATCGACGCGCATCGATGAGAATTTTGAGAACACGTGTACAGGGATAACTGTTCTCAAATTTCATGAAGGGATTTTCGAAAAACCTTGATTAGTTCATCACTATCGAAGTCGCTTTCTTCCACGCATTTATCCGGTCCTGGACATTCATTTCTGACTTGAAAATCGACAGCAGTTTCATCCTCCACGCTCCTCGCTGTCTCTTTGCCGTCTTTTAGAAGATATTCCACTTTCTTAATTTCACCCCGAAAATATTTCTCAAACGCATCCAAATCTAAGGACTTGTCAATTTTCTTTGGTTGCGAGGAATCTCGGATTTTTAAATCGCGCGACGTTCTTCTGCATTGTTCGGGTTTCTCACAAAATTGGGCTTTCGCCAAAGTTTCTACTTCGGTCACAAGATTTTCGTTCCCCTCGATGTTTTTAATTTCACTCGACTCCTCGTTACTTTCTAAATGAGTCTTGGTCTGCGAACTCACAGAATCTTTATCCGCGAACTCTTCAAAATCTTCAGCACTATCCATTTCCGTACTCTCACTTATGGTATTTAATTTCAATTTTGATATTGCCCCATTCCAATTTTCTGTATACTGATGATATGATGGGACTGTCTCTGAATTCTCGTGTGTTACTTCTCTACGTTGTTTGGGGGATTGAATAGAATTTTTGGATAATTCAGACTCTTTGCGATCAGATTGTTTCTCCAAAGTGTCAACGTCGTGCGAAATAGAATCGACATTATGATGGGTTTTTTTATTCTCATACTTTTCATTATTTCTTATAACAATTTTTCCCACTGCGTTACTTTCTGAACATTCTCGTGAATCATCGTCATTGTCATTCGCTTCATGATCAATATTTTCGACAGTTGTGTATTCGAGATCCTGAACAACGTGCACTATCTGTTAGTAAATTAATAAAAGTATAGGAATCCATGACAGTATCTATCATGCATCTCGTAGTAAGTATCAAAATTGTATCTTTGATTTTGAAAATCACGAAGTACGATGTAATTCAAGAAATTGATTAAGAATATCTTTTTATCCTATTTATACTATATAAATAATCGTTAAGCTTACCTCCTCCAACGGCTCAGCGCTGTTATCATCAATTTCATTGACACCAGGAATTCCCAGGAATTCCTCAGAAACGTCATCCTCTTGTTGCTCCTCTTCTGAAGCTTTCACGCCTTCGATGCTTACGTCCAATTCGTTATCCGATTCATGTATAACGTCTTGATCATCTTGATTAGCACTGTCATTTTCTTCCCCGCTTGTGTTATCAACTTCCTCAAGAGCGCCGGTATCTTCATTCTCCTCGTCTGATCCAACGAAATCTTCATCGTCGGATTCGTGAAGATTCAGATCTGCTTTGTTATCCTGATCATCGTCATCTAATACCAATACATATAAATTAATTGACATCATTATAGGAATGACTATAAAAACTTAAGACCACTTATTTTTCTACCTTTATCTTTCGAAGCTTCTTCATCCAATTGATCCTCATCTGAAACTTCTCCTCCATCATGTTCTTCCGTGTCATCTTCATCCTCTTCTTCTTGAGATCCTATCCCTTCGTCAGCATCTTCATCCTCTTTACTATCCTTGAGAGCTACCTCTTCAGATCCATTCTCCTCTTCTTCGTCATGATCTTCTTCATCGTCCTCTTCATCTGCTTCCTGTTTATCATCGTGATCATCGGCTTCTTCACTATGCTCTTCATGCTCATCGGCATGACCTTCCGGAGATTCATCATGAGTTGGTGAAGTATCGTCTACCCAACCGTCGAATATTGTTGCCCATCGAGATTGAGCAACAGGTGTGTCCACTGGAAAGAAAAAAAATGAACTAATCAAAGATGTATTGAAAAATAGTGAAATCCCAAATATAATTATGTATAGAAATACCACATTAAGGATAAATTTGAGGCATTTAAAGTTTACGTCTCTGGTTAGAAAGCAGACCCCATTTTCGAATATTTCAATCAGATCAGCTGGCCGAGTGCAACCTACTTGGATTTCGGCCAAACATTCACTAGGAGTTCCATCCCGAAACTGTACCTCGTTCAAAAGATTATTAATAGAAGAATATGAATTCCCCATAAGTAAAATGACAATAAGCCACGTGACTAACAACGTATCTGTACATTTTTTTTTCTTACCATCAGTAGTTCCTCTGTGCTCGAGAATGATGATCCCAATGAGACTAACAAGAATTGTCAAAAGTGCAAAAAATATTATCCTGGCGCACCAGTGTCCTCCTGTGCCACCATCCTTGTGAACGTGTATCGTGACATTTTCATGCTCCGAGGAATGGACCAAAGTCGGCGGAGGCGTCCCGGCGTCTTCTTCCTCTGATAAAAGTCAAAAGCAAGAGGCGCATTTTAAAATTCAGAATTATGTTCATTAAACCAATAACATGAGTGACATTTTCAAATTCGTTTATCCCGTAAAATTTTATTAAGTAATAATATCATGCATGAGAGTCACAAAACTTGTTAAATGACAACTGTTTGATTGGTCTAATTATGGAAGAAGTAATTCAAAGATTTTCGTGCTTTTTGCAGTCAAGCTCTTATCATGTTAGGTAATTATTAATCGTTAACAAAATTTTGTGATAATCTCTATCCCGCAAAATGAACGTAAAACATTTTTTGATTTTATAGGGAGCCTGTCAGATGGAACTGTCTACACTGATAGTCAAAATAAGGCCGTGTCGAATGTAGATCCAGGAGGAATTAATAACAGTAAAAAAAGTTTTAAATGAAAATCAACAAAAATAATAGCGTACCGAGGCTTGCAGTACGTATCCTTTGAATAGTATACTCTGCTGCAGCTAAAAAATTGTAATCATTTGTAAGAATTTAAAATTCTCTTGATAACTCTTAAACTCACTCAGTCACTTCATGTGAATAATAACCAAACTTTTTCGTCGGGTAGTCAATGAAAGAAAAAAAAAAAATATCTCACGTAGAAGTTAGTATACATAAGCCAAAGTTTAATAGCTTGTAATAAAAAGCAATGAAGATTATTACATCCATGGAAATGTAAAATTCCCAAAAAAAAATGATATATCCAAAGAAAATTATGTGACTTTGGAACAAAAAATTCTTTCAAGTGTAACACATACTTTGGCTCAAACAATATTTGATTGTTTTATCGCGTGAAACATATAAGAGCCATTTTTATTGTATGTAGAATTTCAAGTTTATCTCGCAAGTAGACACAACTCGTAAAATAAGTAAAGATGGTTAGATAACATTTGTTTATAGAGCGCTACCTTATCACTGAAACCGGCAAAAGTGAAACCAGGCTGAAGAAGCCATTCGAAAAACATTTTATCATAGTGATGGAACCTTCGACCCAAAGTATTGTTGCTTTCGATTGTAAGAGTTCTGTTTTCTTAGCCACACGAAATTCAAATGAACAAGGCGGTGATAAAGACGGATAAAATGGACGCTTTGAGCTTAAAAAACAATTATCATTTATAAATAATTTAACGGTTCATGTTTTTCGAGTAGTCAATAGGATTCAATCTATTTTAGTGGGACCACAAGCCGAATGGGGCTTCCAATAGCCACATTTACCCACTTAGTTAACATCGCGCGTAGTATTTGATTTTATTGAATTGTGATGTAAAGAAGAAGTAGACATTGTTTATGCACAATGCAATTGCTAAATACATGTGTATGTATTCCAGAGATTCGTATACATTCGATGGTGCTTTGTCATTCCAAAAATATCGTTAGGGTTGTTTAGGAGATTCACAAAAATCTGACAGTTATAAATATAGTTTGAAATATAATACGAAGAACTTATCTATTAACCATTTGAGTGCCAGGGATGATTGTAAAAATCTTGGCGAATAGTGTCACGCAAAGCGATAGCGTTTGTATTCGGACATTTCGGTAAAAATGTGAACAGCGCGATCGCCCTGTATGCCTCTCAAACGGATAATTAAGTTCCACTGAGTTAGTTATTTAGTTAAGAAGTTATCATCGCAAATCAAATGCCGTGGTTCGTCATCAGAAATAAAGAGAAAACACTAGTAAAAGAGCGCGTGGCCTCAATGGCAATTGTCAAGTAACGGGTGCGCAGATTCAAAGACAAAAATAAATAAAATGAGAAGAGACTAAAAATAACGAATAGCCGCAAGCAGCATGTTCGAATGGATCAAGAAACTACAAGGAGTTAATCATTTCCACTTACCTTTTTTGCGACGCTTGTCCTTACGTTTCCTTGGCTGCACGTCTCCGGACATAATTCCTGTCGCGCTGTTCGCGAACCCGTGCTAAAGTTCGCGCGACAATTGTAAAACTGAGCGCCACGAGCGCCTAGTTCTCTTGTGCCCCCTTAACAAAAATTTGATTTTCCAGCCCTCTTGGGGCGTGTTACCGAAACACCAAGTTCCCTACTTCCGAGTAAGTCAGTCGGGGAGTGGGGGAGGGGGCACCCGTGGCGCCATCTGTTGGACTTATTGGGAAACTCAGATGAAGGATTCTGTACACAAATTTTGAAAAAGACCCTCAATAATCATCAGTGTGCCTGATGGGTTTAATAAGAAAAACTTAATTCAGCGTGAATTCGATTAATCACTGTGGATGGAGATGATTGATTATCAGAGGACAAGTTGTTTATTGCGCAAAATATATGTACAGTATTAAAATACACAGACCGAGTGTATATATTATAGAACGTAATTCCTTAATTCAATAAATAACTCGTGAAATATTCTCTCTGGACGCGAGATCAAACACGTTATTTAATTTTCATTATTTTGGGTCCTCAACATGTTATAAGGCACGATCTATTAACTCTAGGGATCTCTACAAGATAACAATAGTTACTTGGTGAACACAACGAAAAGGTATACAAAAATCATAAGAGAAAGAAAAAGAAAGAGGAGTGATATTAAGAAGAAAAGGTAATGTTATTAAATTATTAATACAATTAAAGTAATATAAATAATACCGTTCATAAGTAGAATTACCATAGGGTTTCATTCACATCGTATTTCACGCGAGATTTTCATGTGCTTTTTTTTATTATTATTACGGCGTCAATATTTATCGTACTTGAGGAATAAGAATCTAATGAATCATCCTTAAAAAAAATGATCGAACGATCAGATTGTTCAAATTTACATAATTCTCTAAGCTCATTCAAAGTCTGCCATTGTTGACCACTATACTCAGTAGCCTTTGAATTATTCTTAATTTTCGTTACCTTGCACATGAAAAGGAAGAGTTTCGATTTAATGCATTCACATGAAAATGCACTCATGTCAATAGATGATCCCTTAATTGCGTCCAATAGAATTAGAGTAATTTCCATGTAATTGCGATTTACCTATCATGAAAATAAAACTTGAAATTCTCGATTTGCTTCAAGATTTGAATCTAGTGATAATCACTGGTTGCTAACGACTGAACGCAATTTTATAATTTCGCAAGAAAAACAAAAAACCGAGTATGTAATATTATTTTCTAGAGCTGAAAGTAAAAGGAGCGCGTAAAATAAATTCAAAATGTCGTTTTCCACACTGTTAAAAAAACAATTTTGCGCACACAACTGTCTTCCAGCTTCTATTTTGTACTATTCTTTTAGTCGGTTAACGTTTTTGACAACATATAAGAGGAGAATAAACGTTCCTAATCTTCGTCACCCTCTAAACTTGTTCCTAAAAATTGGAACTTCATTACAAGAGGCAATAAAAATTCGTAGTCTGCATAAAGAAGAAAAAATGCAATTCCCTAATTATACAAAGAATCGAAAAAATTGTTCAATTAGAAAATCTATAATAATAATGAAAGACTCCTTTCCTCTTCTGGCCAAGTGAAGTCTCGCGTTTTTAATGAGGCGGAGCGAGAATGATGCAAGTACATAAAAAGGAAAGAACAAAATACGCGTTGTACTGTCGCGCTCGAATGCCTCCAATGAAGTAAATGCGATGGACAATTAAAAAAAAAAAGAAATTACTCTAAATTCTATATCTAATTCAGTTCAATGTCGCTAAATCGTTAACACTGTGTACATGTACGTGTATTATTATTTTTCTTATTTAACGATACCATTCCTCGCGCAATCCAATTTACAAGATTGCGATCGTCCTATGCAAACTTGAATAAAAAAGAAAATAATAATAGTAATAACAATTATAATAATAAAAAGAGCCCAATAGGCATTCACGATAACACGATAACGTGATTTCCCGTTTCTGCTTTCTTAAGTCTAAACCAAGTGAGACGTGACGAAGAAATGAAATAGTAACACGAGTGATTACGATTCCATTCGAGAAGATGGAAGAACGGCGGAAGCTAATAATTATTTATGATAATATTTTTCGATCGTGCCAATTCTTTATCAACCCCTCCCTCCCTCTCTCTCTCTCTCTCTTTCTTTCATTCACACATTCACGCATACATTCTCTCTCTTTATTCTTATACTTTTCATAAACATATATCGCGCTATGTGCGTATGTACATACACGATTGTTTTCGCAGACACCATTTAGGCTCGGCGTCATGAACTAAAAAATGAGATTACGAATCTTGAATCCCTCAAATTCGTTTTTATATAATAAATAAATAAATAGTTGAGATTGCCCTTGTGACGCGATGTTGTATTCCGCAGTAATTATCCTAATTAGGAAGCATTTCGATATAGTATAGCTTTCTTTCTTGTGCTAAAGCGCAGATATTTTTTATGAGAGTTCATTTCCTCGACTTAACTATCTCGGGAAGCCTTGGCAGACCAGATATGTCGAAAACAAAATTTGTAATAATTCCAAGAAATATTTTCAAAGCAATAAAGGTAGGCTGCTAACGTTATGAGAACTGTAATCTGTTTTACATACAAAAAAAGGCTTCCTTTGTCAGATAAGCAACTCTTGTCAAAAACTTCCTCTGGTACATTGTCTTATATCAAATTCAATCACATACTGGCTGTGCGCTTTAGCGAGATTCAAATTAGTGTGAACAGTGTCGAATTTCCAAAAAAAAAAAATATACCCTTCAAAAAGTAGAAAAATAATATGAACGATGCTCTTCCCTCGTACTTGAAATTTATAAAAGTGTACTAACGTTGTTATGTACGAATTTAAAAAGAAATTACAGTGGTAACGAGAAATACAGCTTCACTAGGTCACGTGTGATTACATTTATCCGCCTTGAGGAATCTTGGCAATAGAAATATTGCCCAAGAACAGAAGGATCGTTTTCAAATTCCAAAGAGCTTTTAAGAAATGGCTTATTGGAAAACTACTTTTTGCCTTCTAAATAAGAGCACAAAAATATACAATTATCGTTGTCTCAAAGATTGCCTAAGGCGGATAATACTATTTCTCTAATATTTCGTGCACAATTATAAATTACTCTTGTCCCATACTTTACACATTATTATCCACCAGATAAACGTCCAACCTGAAGATATATAAGATTCTTTGTAATTTACAGTTAAAATTCATGCACAAAAACGATCAAATTTGAGTTACAAAAGTTTTCACTCTGCCAGACTACTTTCAGACGGATATTGATTTTTTTTTAAGTCTTGTTAGGACGACAAGAATTATCAATGAATAGCCAAATTGATCACTAATTCATTTTATAATCTGATAGATGATATTCAACAGCAACAATGGTACAATTGACTCCCATATTTTAATAAATAAACACAAAAGATTAAAATGAAAAATATACTAACACTTTTGTGAAAGAACAAAGGCATGAGACGCTGTCGGACAGCCATGATGACTGACATCACAGATTTTCAAATTTGATCATTAAATATTTTAACTTTGAAAAAAATGTAATCCTGACGGATATAAAAGCTGAACAGTACGAATAGTATTTGTCATACATGAGACTGATGTAGTCGAAGAGAAAGAAAAAAAGAAACAAAAAAATTAAACATAAGAGAAGTAGAAGAAGAAACGAAACGAAGAGGAAAAAGAATAGAAGTCAAAGAGGTACGAAGAGAAAGAAGAAACTCTCTCAATGATTTCCACGACCGCTCATCGAGTTCGAAGAGATGTCCGATGCGTCATCCCTTATCCTCCTGGTGAGTGTACCTTCATCGAGTTTTCTCGTGTTGTCATAATTGCTGAGCTTTCTCGAGAGAGTACTGGACATATTGATACCGTCTGAACCAAATAGGCCGGAATTGTCATGATTATTATGATGATGATGATTGAGACGATGGTGATGATTGTGTCGCCTCTGATTCTCGAGATTCTCATTTCCATTCCATTCGGATGTCTCAGATCTGAGAGTGTTATTAAGACTGTTATCGAATCTCTTGAGATCATTTTGTATGCTCCTTATAGTGTCCGTGTTGCTTTCGTGCCGTCTCCCCAGATGGCCGTCGTTCTCATAACGACGATTTATAGAGTCCGAGTCGAGACACTTTCTCAATGATTCCTCGAATCTTTGCTCCTCTATTCGTCTGGACAGGCTGTTATCGTAAAAGCGTTCAGACTCACCACAACGGCGATTCAAACTGTCTGTTTCGTAGGTGCGTTTTGTCAATTGGCCATCGAAACCCGCTCTTGCGGCGAGATGGAGGTAGTTGTCGTCACCGATTGGCGCTTGTCTGCAACATAATAAAAGTTTATTAAATGTTAAAACTACTTTTAATAAAAAAAAAAACCGATGAACTCGATTTTAATTAGTTAAAGAAAAATTAACTCACTTGCTTCCATATTTCGTGTCGCGAGCCAACCTCCTGAAGTAGGCTCTGTGTTCGCGTTCGAGTGCAATGGCTGCGTCTCGGAGTGCTGTCAATGTTTTGAAACAAGAGGGAACATCTTCTATGGGTGAACCTCCACCAGGTAAAACACACATCTCACTCGCTCCATATACTGCTTGACATTCGCAGGCACTCATCAGAGTTTCCAGCCGAGGCATGTTAGTGAATATCAAAGAGTGTATTCTTTGTAGATCCCGGTCAGGGTCCAGGACTATCCTCAAGCCAGCTTCTACTCCTGGAGAAACTTCGCTGCACCCTGGAGCAATTTCAGCTACGGCTCGGCAACTGTATTTTGCAAACAGATGAGCGTGTAAAGAACAAACAAAAAAACCTTTTATTGCAGTGAAAAAATTGTATGATTTATCACACACCAAAGCCAGTGCCCATTAATATAGGCACTTGGATGATATTTCTCTAATCTGTTGCTGTTCGTTTGACAGATTTTAGTGAGAATGTCAATCCATTCTTTTTCTTCTACGCAGTTACCAGCTTGGACATAAAGTGCCCTCTGCGGCTGAACAATTTGGAACATGTTCTTCATTTTAAAAGAATCCTCGTGCAATCTCTCAACTGCTAAGATTTCTTCGAGAGGTATTCTGCATAAAGGTTCCTTTCCTAAATTGAAATAAAATATTGATTTTGAGAAAAATATAGAAAAATAATAAAACATCATTGACGCCACTAAAATAATCAACAAATACCTTTGGTTTTTGAATAGGTCAGATCTTGTGTGGTGAGTCTAAAGTATCTTTGCTTAAAGTTTTTCCGTCCAAATCGCTTTCGACCTTGTGCTCTCTTTATCATAACTCTGCAACATTAGTCACATCAATGATTACATGATTGCAATGATATTGATAATTGACAGAACAGTGAGATACCAACCTCTTACCAAAGTCAGCGGTGTGCACAAAAACAAAATATATTCTATTAGAGAGAAAGATTGTTAGTGGATGCTTGGAATGTTAAATTATTTATGCTTGTATTTTATTTCTCGTATGCTTTGATTAACATATAATTTACATTCCCACACATGCCAAGGTAAGTAAGGGTTTTAAAATGATTGCAAATCACTGTCAGAACAAAAGTCTAAGTAATGTTCTGTTAATGTTCATTCTGTCTCGTTAATTTAATCTTATGAGACATCAAAATTAAAAATGATTAAGTGTGAATATACAGTAAAATATTAATATACGTGCATTATGTCATTATTTTATAATCACAGCATATGTTAAACTCACCCTTCTTTCAACACCACTGGCTGTTCTTGTGATGCTGTCGGCCGCTGTTTTGTTGCTCCACTGCCGCTACTCGTAGATATTAACTCGAGAAACTGCTTAACTGCTTGAATATGCTTATCTGTATAAAATTCTCTGTAAATAATATTCAAAATTATTCCTGATTGTCAATAATGAAATATCAGTATTCAAGAAAAATAATAAAATTTTCTTTAAATCTCAGTCTTAAAATATGGTAACATTTGTTGTTATCTACCTGTATACGCATTCCATGTACTCCTCCTTACAGACGCTACCTGCGCCTCCTCTACAACTCACTAAGTTTCCCAAGCTCTGAATGGTCTTAGAAATTAACGTTAACGTCCTATTTGTTTGAGAATCCTATAGAATGAAATATATACATTTATTACTTAATATAATTAATTAAATAATTGTTTTGAATAAAGATAATACTGATCGATAACTTACAATTTGTTCGGTGGTAATATCGAATAATCTCGGACCGAGTATGGCCGGCGCGAAGAATCGCAGGAATATAAAACCACTGATAACGGAGTATCGAACTTCCTTGTTTTTTGGAAAGTGAGTGGCCGCTAATTCACGGAGACACCAAAACATTGCGCACATCAATGGCGGACATCTCACTCCCGATGTTGTTATGGCCGTAAAAACCCTTTCGACGTATTCCTACCATAAAGAGAAAAGCGGATTCGTTACACAAGTGACAAGACGGTATAAAGAAGAATGGAAAGTAGTAACAGAAAAACTTACTTTTAAATTTGCCAAATTAGTCTGGATAGTATTAGCATCTTTTACTCTTGTGGGATCAATTTCACAGGGTTTCCTTTCAAGAAAAACTTGCTCCATTGCTGGTCTCAATGTACTGTGCAGATAATGAAGTCCGGCTAACCGCATACCCTCGTCCATCATTTTGCTCACTAACGTGTTACCTCGAAATATCGTTGTAGGATCCCTGATAAATGGATTTTTATGAATTAATATAGTAAAAAATAACAAATCCAAAAAACAGTAGGAATCAGTTATAAAAACTTACGTTAATTTCGAAATTTCGTGACTGGCTAAAGCTTTCATCACAGACACTAATTGTCCATGATGAACGAGAACTTGAACCAAGGGTTGTGCGGCCTCCATTTTACTCGCTACGATTTCCCCCAAAATGTAAACCGCCGACGAAGTGATTGGTTGAATATTTACACTCTGAAGCAACAAACTTCTTAATCTGTCATACATCTCAGAAGGGAAAACATGATCCGCCGTATAATGTATCTTCAAACGTAAGGACCCCAACCCTGGCACTGTGCCTGGTGGAGTCGAATTGCTTGAAATTTTAGTTGGACGGTGTTTCGCTGCTCTGGGTTGTAAAAAATACCTAAAACAAATACTTTCTTTGCATTAGACACTCTTCATCTTTATTAATAATCAATAAGGTATTCAATAAGGTGTCACACTCGATCGTCTAGGCTTCAACTTACCAAGCAGTGGTCGTACTGGTCGGTTGTTTTTGTAAACCTCTCAACGTTACACGAACTTCACCAAGAAAAGCAGGTTGTTCACCCATTCCAGATGCGTGCCATAGCCCTACAACAACTTCACCAACCTCACCTCCATCGATGGAATAATGAGAAACATCTTTGTCTTTAGACTCTGTCAATTCAGGCTGCATACAATAAATTATCAATTGATTATATGTTGTAATTGAAGTTTAATTGCACTTATTAACTTTACTCTCTTTACGTATGGATAGATCTAGCTACAGTTTACAAAATATTTTAGACTCACCTCAAATGTAAAAGTCTCATTGAAATGGGGAGATGCTGTTTTCTTTTTACCTTTCGTACGTTTTGATATTTGTTTTCCATTACTGTATATGACAGTAACGGTTGCGAATGGATCACAGCCACCATTTTTAATAGTTAGCTCGCTACACTCTATTACCCTGAGAAAAAGAGGAAAGGATCAAATAAAAATTCGACCGTCATGAAGCCTCAATCTTCAAAAGCGTCCAAAAATACAATTCATGGAGACTTATTGAAAACAGTGACTATCTTTTATTCGCTTATAAAACTCATTTATCCCTGGTATGTAAATGGAAAGCAAAGTTGATGCAGCTGGATCGAAGGACGAACAAACATTTTACTTCCTTATTCAAGGCAAAATCGAAGGAACGCGATCGGCAGAATCAAAGGGACTGCCATTGTAGCTCCATGATGTCATGGATTATTCATCTGCATAGCAAATTGATTTTAACCGTTTCCTTCCTGCGATTGTTGGCTTTTAGAGCAGAGTATGCTTCCAAGCAGGATGCCATAATTGTCCCCAAGGCCAAGGAAATTGACGATGCCGCCGCAAAACCAATTAGTCTCACCGTGTTAAAAATTCATTGAACTACTTTCGCGTTCTACTCTCCAGACTTTGATAGAATCTCTAGGCGCAAGAGCACTACAGGACATTAATAGCTCGCTACACATTTACTTTATTGTGAGAAAATTGTACCCAAAATTATAGTTAATTTACTATGCAGATTATAATCACAATCTATGAATAATTAAAAATACTAATGCCTAATTAAATAAACGCGCAATTTCTAATGGTATGTAAATGTACAAAATGTCAGCATCATTTGTACATACGGCAATCAATATTGTTCATTCGATATTAAATTACTATATAATTAGGGGTCATCATTAACATTAATAATTAGATTGAAGAATTAAATTGACACTCACCGAACAGTAAGCTTAGGCTGAACATGTCCAACTTGAGGTTGCAACGACAATTCCAAATGAGCTTTGCCTTGTACTTCGGAATCGGCATCGACAGGCCTCAAAGGGAACCAGTGTTCTTTATTATGATATGTCGCCAAGTCTTCCCTCTTAATAGCCACTTTTCCCAATATCTTATCCTGCTTCAAATGTCGATCCCTGTCGTATACGTAAATCCCGAGGTAACGAAACTTTCGAGGAACCTCAAATTGAAATTCTTCTCCAAAAAAGGGGCTGCAAAGAAAAAAAAGCACCATAGTCATACATTTCAGACATGAATAAATGTTTCAGTATGATGGATGGTATTCAAAGTATTGAATTATTATTTATGTTATGAGTGAGGTAGATATTACTTACTCAAGTGTTCTTTCAATTGTAGTTGTTCTGAATATTTCTTCCTGGTCAAGAGATAATGCACAGTAGACATCTCTCGTACCTGGAGAGCCATGGCTTCGACTCTGTAGATTTTTGGCTTCACCTGTTAATTATAAATTGGCATATTTGTATGATTTGTTTAAAAAATGGAGGTTTGTTAATGTACAAAGCTTTTAGTTTTTTAATTTTATAAAATTGTTAAGGTTCATTGTCTAACATGGGTAAGTAGTATACACTTGTAATTCATTGTTGTGTATAGTATTACGTTGTGCTCATGACAAATTTCAATAGGATGAAGGGTAGAAAGAGTGTAAAAACCATGTCACTGACAATTGAAAATTATTTTGCATTCCAATCCTTTCTTGTGACTTCAAAGGCATTGTAATTTACATTGGTTAAATAGTCTCAATGAAACCATTCACTGTGCAGTCTTCCGTACATGATTAATTGTTCTCCATTGGCAGCTAGGAGAACTGGATTTTGACAAATAACTTCCATCCTAATCCAAAAAACCAAGATGTAACTTAAAAAATGATACATGTTGGTATATTTTTGTATATCAATGTTTATTCAAGAATAATATATCTTATCCTCTAAAATGCTAGACAAGTTATATTTGCAGGTAGTAAGGATCTGATAGACTCTTCGATGTTCTGCAAAGATCAACAAGCATCACATCGAAGAGAATGCACCGAAACCTTATACTATTTATCACAGTCCTCCGAAACAATTCAAGAAACACATGTGACACTTCTCCAAGGGAACCAACATCTACATACAAGTGCACTCATGATACCAATGATTTAGCAATCCCTGTATAAATGAGAATAGCGTGGGAGTGCTCTGAAACGGAGCCTATTAAATCCAGCAAACCAGTATTAACCTCACCAACACCACAAACACCAAAAAACCAGAATTCTTCAGTAGCCCCAATATAAAAAACGACGTTAATAAATCGAAGGAACAACTCCATGAAACCGAAAAACCATCATCGAATCTCGCAATCGAAACGAGTTAAGCGTGGGAGTGAAAGATCGACGCCCTGAATGGTGAAATTACATGAAACATAATAGAGTATAGATAATTAATGTGTCATCAAATCAATGACAATTTTAGTCGCGTCTGCGATGAACATTACGAAGAAATACTAAGTACAGGAATTTTCACGAGCAGGAACAAAGCCATCGCCCTGGGAGTTCTCGAGTGACATCCCTCCCTTTAATAATATTCAACTCAATTTTTAATCCCCTTCTCGTAACTTCTCCCTGTGTATTCGATCCATCGAAATTCACACTGCACTCCGTATACACTAATGACACAATTATTATATACCGATCTTAATCCTTAGCCTTTCTTCAACGCGGACTAGGCGCGTCTCCTCGGCCATGTTACCTCCATGACACTACTGAGTGACTACACCACACGAACAGAACGCTCCTTCCTTCGCTCGCTCGCTCGTTCGTTCGTTCGTTCTGTGAGTCGTGCTCGCTCACTCTTTCACTCTTTCACTGAGCCCTCTCACTTGCTCGCTCACTCGCTCCCTCAGCCGTGCATTCGCGTGCGTGCGTTCGCTCGCTCACTTCTGCGAGCTTCCCTGTTCTGTGAATGGATTCTAGACAGGGACGGATGCTTTAGGAGCATCTATCGGGCACTGCGCGATTACGCCCTTCGTTCTGATACTTCTAATCATTCTCTTTAACCAGTTTAACTTAATTCAACTACTATTTATCAGTTATAGTTGCTGTTACTTCATAATTTTATTGGATACGCTTTGGTGACTGTCACTGTAAATTATCTCACGCTTTTAATTTAGTATGCTTATTAAAGAATCGTTTTCTGATGCGGAACATAATCCGAATGTATCGTTACGTAACAGGAACAATGTAAAGTTTCTTTAATATTTATTATGTCATCTGTTATTGATTCTTGTACCTCATCACATAATATTATTCTATACCTTTCTCTTTTGATTTTACTTCTGTATACTGACCCGCATATATGCATACTACACTCTATTTGTATATAACTTTTCACATTTATATGTAGCAAGGTACTTTCGAATTACGCAATGACGAGCTTCCTCTTCTCATTCTCATTACTTTTCTGTAGGTTACCGATTTCCTTTTGTTTTTATTAAATATAAAGATTTTTTGCAAAAGAACAAACGATATAAAAATTTAATATATAATCTTTATATTCTGCAGTTAATTTTTTCGTATACTTCTTGCTTATTCATTACTAACCGGAAATCATAAAAAAAAAGATTATTTTTTAGATATACAGAAATTCTACATCGAATTCAGCTGGATGATCGAAATATACGAATCGATTGTCATTTTATGCGAACCGGAAAAGCATTTCCCCTATCCATTCTGACGTGATCATCGTAAGTTGAACTCTAGGCAGGAAAAACATTTCGAACTAACATCTGATTTATAACCAAGCCGGATGTGACGACAGAACTAAGTGATGACTTGAGCTTTCGTCAAAGATATAAAGCATTCGTTCTCAGTTTGAGAACAGAATTTTCAATTTGAAAGTCTTGGCAGGATATTCGAAATATTTAAAATAAGAGAAAACGGTTAAGAAAACCCCTTGTTTTTCTATACTTTGCGCGGTAAGTAAGTTGACTCTTGTTATCAAAGGAAATGGGCCTTATATAAATCCTTGACTCCTTATCCACCACATATACCTCTTCCTTGGATTTGTCATTGATAACGATGGTTACGCGACAAGTCTGATTACGGGACAAAATGACTACGCGTATACGTGATATCATAAAACTTATTTCGCATCACGATCGATTCACCATTATCAATATTAACTTTATCTTACACTTATATTCCAGTGCACGAGTATAACGACTTATGAACAGTATTGACATGTTCTATTATGATGACATCAGTTGACAATAATGATTTTCTTTTTAAAAAAATAGATATTCCTCTTTCTTCAGACAATTTGAAGTAAAACAGTTTAATTTTCACCGATGACATGTCAATGCTGTAACATCGTAACGGAGGAGTACACTGACTGAGATCGAAGATCAAATAACAGAGTAAGAAAGTGATAAATAAAATGATCAACAAAGTGTAAGAGAGCGCATGAGAATTGCCACCTGAGAAAGTAATTACCCAAGTAGTTAATATAAAAGTATAAAATCGATCAATAAAGTCAGTAAGCCACGTGTCTTCTGAAAATGTTCACTATGTATAGCATCTATTGGTTTTTGTGCCATAAGCATATACGTAGGCGAGTATATAAATACATATAGATGTAATTGAGAAGTAGGAAAACAGTCGGAGAGGCATCGACGGGGAATCGCAGACAATGATAATGTAGTGAAGCGGCGAAATGACGAGGCAGGAGGTGGAGCCAGTGAGTTAGGCATAGAGACAGTCAGGCAGGCAGAGCCGTTCGAATGAACGTGAGCGTGAATGGATCGAGTAGAACGGCGGTGAGTGGCTAAAAGAGAAAAATATGAATGAACTCGTGGTAGTGACAGTGGCGTGCGTACGATAGTCGCTCGGTGCGCATGCGTAGCACCGTTACGCACGTAGCACGTGTACCGTTTTGACGTCGTCGACGTCTCATATTGTCCCAGAGACATTTGCATTGATCGCGCTTTTAACGATTTTGGCATTCGCGCGAGTGTTCTGGGAATTCATCATTTTACAGGTATTTAGGTTATCAGCCTGACGTTATAATTCCATGGAGATTTCATCAGACTAGTTTTTCAAATATGGCAAATTGAAGTTAGATTACGTAGAACATGAATTAGTGATTCTGCAAGACTCTAATGGTACGGACGAACGAAAATTAAATAAAAGTATAATTGTTTCTTTGCTTTGTTTTGCGTTAAAGAGAAAAGAGTGAAGGGGACTGTACGAGTGAAGAATTTCAGCTGGCGTTACGGAGAAGAAGAATGAGTATGGCTATGGGAAAATGAGGACATTGTCTGATTTTGAACAAAGATAACCGAACTAGGTCGATGGGCTAGGAGGTAGCGTCGGAAGTACAAGATCTGTCTTTGTTCCTTTCTCTCGTGCGTTCCTCCTTTCCTTTCCTCGTACTATTACCGATACCATCTGTTCGGTGATCCACACGACCATTGCGCTTCTGTAACAAACGATATGATAAACAGAATATATTATATATAGAGAAGAGAAATAATAATAAAAATATCAGTACGCTTTTGTCGTTTACTTTTTTCAACTTCCACATTTCACCGTTTGAAACTCCACACCTTCCACGCTAAGGGCTGTCTCTCCATTTTCTCGTAACTGCTTTTACTTCCAATCATCGCCGAATTCCTCTTCTTTTTTTCCTTCTTGAGATTTTTCAAAGTTCGGGGGTTCAGTCGCGTGTCGATTCCCATAGGGTAGGTTCCGGATGTGGCCTGATCTCTATCCCCGTTTTCTTTGACGGTTCATTTCTAAATATAAAGGCCGTGTGGCCAGCATGTACACCACACTCTACGTACACACACTCGTTATATGTCAGCCCGCTTGAGATTCAATACAGTATCTGTATATCTCGTGCACATATCTACTAAAATGCATATGGTATTCACAGAAATGAATTTACGTCTGAAAAACAATATGAATTTTTTAAGCTACTAACCGACGTACGTACATGTTATTCAGACTTGGCAGAAAAGACTTTTGGGAAATTGATCCATGCCTCTATGTGTCATATGTGTTAAAATAATCTCGCGTATATAGGAAATATGATGAATGGACTTACGTGTACGTATTTTTTCATCATGTACAGAGAAGAATGAGTGGTTTTCATGTGTCAATAAAATGTTTATGTCTCTACAGTACGAGGAACGCGTGCGTGGCGCCGTTGAGAGTATGTAAGTGCGTGATATATAAAGTGTTTAAAGATATGGTAATGTATTCACATGGTTTCCATGCACACATGGAGAAAATGACGTCTATAGTGAAGAGTAAGCAGCCGTCATATTGCTTGACTCGGCTTTGTCAGACCGGAAGTCGTTCCGTCAATTCAAGCCAATTTTTACGCTTACCTGTCCCACACACCAGCATGTATTTATGTACGTACCATAATATGCCATCGTACAACATCACACGCCATACGCTTCTGGAAAAACGGAAGTTGAATTCAGAGTGTGAATATTTATATAAACATTATGAGTAGCCTTCTGGCATTAACCATTTAAGCGATCAACAAATTTAGGTGTGAAGAGAGGAAGCGAAACTGATTCTGAAGTAGAAAAGAGAAAAAAAACCTCGAGTATTGAGGACAGTGTGGCGTAACGATAAATACCTAGTATTTAAAAGTGGTAAGGTAAAGTGTTGATCAAAAGTTACAGCACCTTGAAACAATGCAGTAAGAATAAAGCGCGAAGAGTGCTGCAATCGAGACGTACGTGGATATAAGTAGAAATATAAAAATACATAAATGTAGAATTTGTGCTCTCGTAGGTTGTCAGTCGGTGTGGGCGTTCGACCCGCCATCTACCAGCCTCACCCATGAACCTCCGTAGTTCCCTACGTTTATTCTCGGCTCGTCGAACATAAATATTTCTTTTTGTTGTCGCGTAAAGTCACAGACAGAAATGACGCCGGAGCGTGGAGTACGGAAATCGCTGGGAAAATCTGCCATAAAAGAGACTTAAAGTGAACATGGAACGACATAAAGCATAGCGGCATTGTATTGTATGGACTTGGATTAAAAGATTTTTGCAAATAAATCTTACGTTTTTCAAGAACGCCATTTTACCGATGACACTACGGCAATCACGAGATTATGTCGAGTTTTTAATTTGTGCCTACAATTTAGCACTGGATTTTGGAATTGGAATTTCTTCGTTTCTGGATATGACTGTTAATGGATATTGGAAAAAGCATACATTTTATGAAGCCACAGATAAGGTAGGATAGGAAGTGGAAATGGAGCCAGACTTTCCAAGCAGGGAACCACCGAGGGAGGAAGCCCATCCGTATCCGGAGGGGCATTTACAAAACCCCATTCAGCGTTCGGCTGAATGAACGAAGAAGAGAAAAAAAAGGAAAGAAATAAATACAGCTCTTAATTTAATTACAATTAACTTCCGTGAATATTATATTATACAATTCTAAAGCCCTCCTCTCTAAATTGCTCCTCTTCCGGTTCCGTCTATTCACACCGCATTTGATTTTGTTTCCGACTCTTCTTCAAATTTCTTTATCTAAAATACCCAAAGATTCTTAACGATAAAAACAGTATGATAGAAAAATGTCTTTTTCGCGTACACCGAAAACTTTGCAGAAAATATAATTGCGATTCGTCACGTTATCTTGGCCGCGCAGTTAATTGTCCGCTTTCCAGTATAAATTGCGACATATAAAATTTCGCACGCAATTTGTCCATTGTCGATTTTGGATCCCGACAATTACATTATCTTGAGTTAATTAACTGAGTTTCCCGGGAAATACAGAAAGAAGGAGCGAAGACCCGAAAAGGAGGAAAGGAAAAAAATAGAGAAGAAACAATGCCCTGAGAAGATCGTCCCACTTACGCAATTTCTCAGCTGCTCACGCAGCTCGCAGCTACGCACAATTATATTACGCTTTGTCCCGTTCTACGCATCACGGCTTTTCGACTCTCTCACAGTTTCTCCATATCATTATTTCCCTACTTTAACATCGCGCTTGAAAATCGCACGCCATTAGGAAATATTCTCTGCTCCCGTTCGAATTACGCTAGTACAGCCGTATTCCCTGTAATGGGGAATTTTATTTTTAAATCGTTAATTTGTATTATAGCTCATAAGCAAATCGACACGCCAACCCGACCAATTAATAAATATACTTTTTCCTTTAAGCATTAAAGAAATTTTCAGCATAGAAAATCTTGATTCCAAGAGTTATTCGTAGCCGTAAAGATTGAGGCAGGTTAAAATATACAAACTGTCTTGAAACATACAACAAAGATTTTATGATTCGTGGGAATACTTGAATTAATGAGTATAGTAGCTAACGGTATAATGACGACGATAGTAAAGTAACGTAGTACGCATAGATCTAAAACAGAGTAGCGTAATACAGCGAGTTAGCTTGATGAGAAAATAAATGCTATAAAAGACTGAAATAATGTCGATGCGAATCGGAAGGAAATTCAAAATAATAAAAGTTTCTCTTCCAACGTGTAGAAATTATCATGGCGTAGACTGCTCTTTATCGGTTTTCTCACAAGTTTCCGTTCCCACAAAGTGGCTCGATTGTTCTGCAAAAGGAAGCTGATCTGTTCTATGTATTCCATGTTCGTCTAATTGTCCTTCCATAATTTATTTCTCATGGCGTCAGACTGCGTAAATACAGCTTTGGCATGGATCTAAAGCAAAAGGCTTATTACTATCGCTCCTGCAAGTTGAATTTTGGCCGTCTTGGACAATTAAAAGATTTCAGTGCACGGCTACAATTTCCCATATTAAACTGCACATACGATTGTCCTGAAGAGCCCAGAAGGGAAAAAACCATCCACGAAAGCATAAATACCTTCGAAGCGAACAATAATCTATATAATACTTGTGTACACCTTCATAACAATAACGTACAGTTAAATTTCAGAGAAACGTTTCACAACTATTGTATTAGCAACAGAAAATGTTTGTGTTCAGTGATAATGAGAAATACTTGTAGTAAAATAAAGACGAGTCGAATTTCAGTTTGATTTCAAACCATAATTGAAGTTAGTTTCACTTGCTATGTGTTGGTAATGGAGATTTCTACTTAAATTGCCATCGGTTGGACGTATACTCCTAAGAGCATAAGTTTATCAAAATTAACAAAGTAGTAGCTATGCCAACTCACAGATGGTACTAAACGAGCGATAATATTTACGAGAGGAGTATTTGTTTCATATTTTGCAGAGTTTGACACATGGAAACGCCATGCGTTCATTTGAATTTTTAACATTTTTTGCATTGCTTGTAATAGCCAAGTGTAACGAGCAAGAATGTACAATCGATTCTAAGGAATCTTGCAGTGAAAACGATACTCATCAGAAATACAAGAAAGGTTTATGTGTATAGAACGATTATAACCTCAAAAAATGAGATATACTATTCTTGATTAGGAAATATTAATTTGATTAAGAAATTTGCAAAATAAAATATTTTTACCTGCATGAATAAAGATTTTTTACGTTTCCCGTTGCAATACGATTATGTATTTTCATTCCACGAAATAATAAAAAAAATTGTAAGTTTGTCCTCGCATTATATTTAATATTGTGAATGTTGTATGTATGCAGAGATAAACGAAAAATATAATAAGTACTTGGCAGCGGTTACAAATGCCGAACAGGAATTCGTCGAATGCAATCGTACCAACTGTGGATGTTTTTCAAACGTGATAGCGCGAGATTTGAAACCTTTTCAAGAAAAAGGCATTAGTCACGAATTGATAAATGCAGCGAAAGTAAGGTAAATTACCTCATTTCAACTCTCTTATTCAATATTTTCAAGATCACTCAAATTCTTGTTGCAGTGGTGCAACATTATATCAAATAATAAAAGGTCGCTTATATCGAGAAACGGATTGTATGTTTCCATCAAGATGTGCTGGAATTGAGCATTTTATTTTGAAAGTTATTGATAAACTGCCTGATATGGAATTAATCATAAATACGAGGGATTATCCGCAATCAAGTAAATACTATGGAAATATGTTACCTGTATTTTCTTTCAGCAAGGTAATTTAGTTGTGTTATTAAATTTTCAATGTGATTAAATTGTCTTCTGTTGCGTTTCATTCACACTTATCTTTTCAGACTCCAGAATATTTTGATATATTGTACCCTGCTTGGTCATTTTGGGAAGGTGGACCTGCAATATCACTATATCCACGGGGTCTTGGAAGATGGGATCAACACAGAGTTACCATAAATGAAGCCAGTGAAAAGTATCCGTGGGAAGAAAAGGAATCCTTAGCATTTTTCAGAGGATCTCGAACCAGTTCGGAACGAGATAATTTGATTTTATTAAGTCGCAATGAACCGTCCCTGGTTGATGCTCAATACACAAAAAACCAAGCTTGGAAGTCTGACAAAGTACGGTTTTGATAATGAATTTGGTAGTATTTGGATTCCTGAGAATAATTTTTCTTTTTGGAAACGCAAATATACAAAATTATATCAAAATTAATTACATCGTTTCAGGATACTCTAGATGCCCCGCCAGCAAAAGAACTCTCCTTGGAGGAGCATTGTAAATACAAATATCTATTCAATTATCGTGGTGTGGCAGCATCATTTAGACATAAACATTTATTTTTGTGTCGGTCTTTGGTTTTCCACGTGGGAAACGAATGGACAGAATTTTACTACAAAGCAATGAAGCCATGGATTCATTACATTCCTGTTCCTAAGGACGCTAATCAACGCGAACTCAAGTAGGACACGATATTTGTAATTTGCAGAAATTATTTATAAAAATTCATAAACAATACACATGTATTTCTAGGGACTTGATTCTATTTGCTAAGGAAAATGATGGCTTGGCAAAGAAAATTGCAAATCATGGAAGAGATTTTATCTGGGGCAAACTTCAACTATCTGATATAACATGTTATTGGAAAAAACTGCTCTCGAGTTATGCAAAACTTTTGTCTTACAGACCAACACTTGACAAGAATCTCGTAGAAATTAAAAAGAAATAATTAAATGCCCGCCGCCGCTAAATTCAGAAAGATAAATAAATTGTAAATGCATTCCAAAAAAAAAGATATCATTTTCTCAAATACTTTCAAAGCAACGTTAGTGTGAGGTTAATCTTTATATCCAATATCGATCAGAACACTAATGCGCTAGATGCAGCTTTTGGAAAATTGACTTTCAGGACAAGCGCATCATCCATATTGCTTATTTCAGTATTATTAACGATACTTAATTCCACTTATATTATATCTTATGAAAATAAATTGATCTTACGTTATTTCACTTTATAAGTAGCTTGCTCTGCCGACACGTTAGTCTGGGATGCGCTCCAATACACCAACAAAACTGTATACAGAAGAACGTACATCAGTATATGCAAATGATAAATAATCCAAATATTTTAGAGAAAAAGAAAATCTATAGAAATCATTTGTTCCCACTGTATGACATACGTACTGACTTATACGATGAATTGTACTTCTTCAGGGACGTTCATGTGTTTTTTCTCCGAGTATATACACCTAAATAAGTTTTAAATATATAATAGAACCGAAAGGACGTGACATGCGTTTTACAATTACATTCCTGATGATCCCTCGTATCATTGTGTAAAAAAGATTATGTAAAAAAGGACTAATTTAATGCCGACCACAGAAAGATAAAACGTCCATTACGTACACTATAGGTATAACATCCGTTATACAGACAATACGATTATCTTGGAATTATAATCTGTTCATATCTACAGTAAAAATAGTACATTTATTATGAAAGGTTCGTCCTCGTGCACTGGAACTCGCAGGCACGTATGAAAGAAAGAGAGAGAGAGAGAGAGAGAGAGAGAGAGAGGGAGAGAAAGACGCAATCAAACAAAATGAAATATGGAAAAATAATGGCATGGCCCGTTATAAGATATTTACATGGACAGTTTCTATTCCCCATTTATTATTTTCGTTCCTTGGGAATATTGTAATAGATTATAAAGACGAGCACAGTTATCACGAATAAACTGGTCATGGATATTCATTAATGAATCAAATAATTAAAAACCAATATCCATCAGACATTCGTTATGTCATCTATATGTACGTAACTGTATACGAACGTTGTCTCTGCTTGTTATTTTGGTAAATAAACATTTTTAAAAATGGATACTTTTTTTTTTACTGCTTCAACTTATACGGGCCACGTAGAAGAATTTTATTGTGCATTCGAATGGCGTTTTTTTGACCTTTGCACAGACGCATTTCAATTGCACTGAAAACATATACTTCCCATGTTTCAATTTTTGTTTGTTAAATTTGACAAGTTATTCTCTCCCTTTTTTTTTACTCTACATCTAATTTCATATTCACTCCTTTCACTCACTCATTCACGTAGTTTTCTCTGTTATATCGTATTGAACGACTGCTATTTGTCAGCTGCGCACTTAACCATTCTTTAGTCTTTTTTGTCTCACACCGTAGGATTGACGCCTCCGGATGATGATAAACCGATTCACAATGTTAATTAACCGTTGTATCCACATTATTAGGTTTACCGTGGCATGGACATGGTAATTTAGTTGACCGCGTGGCTTAACGATCTAGGATACATTAGCTCCTAACCATTTTAATTGAATTTTTGTAAGGAAACCAGTGTTAAGTGCCAGGAACACGATAAAAAATATGAAATTGGACAATTTTATCGAGATTCAGCCTTCGTCTTTGGTGGCCTGAAGGCTTTTAGCTTTTTCGTTTTCTTTTGCTTGGTTGCTCCTCCGGAGCCGGACTGGAAAGCTTTCCAGCTGTCGACTCTGGATTGTCTAGACTCCTCAAAGTTCCGCTGCCATTCCCGTTCTAGCGCAGCTTGTGCTTCTGCTGATAATTCTTCTTCTCTTTTTCGTTTACGCTGTTCTGCATCTCTAGTAGCTAATTCCCGTCTACAGAATGGATTTATATATTTCAATTGCTTTGGTGTGTAATAATGCTATTTACCTTCTGCGCTCCATGTCAGCAAAGAGTTTCATCGTCATGACCCACACTGCATGTCTGTATCCTTCCTCAGTTTCTTCATCTAGCACATGCGCGCCCGTTCCATCGTTTGCGTTTTTACCTTCTTTCTTTAATTTCTTTTTCTTCTCCGTAATCTGTATTTCAAATTAATCATGTTACAGAGATCAAATTTTTACTAGAGTGGTTTTATATGAAACCATTTTAATAATATCATTTTACTTATTTTCAAATTACCATGTGATCTGTTCGTGCCTTTGCCTCTTCGATAACATCCATACACTTTGCTCTAGTTTCTTCATTCTCCAAGGTTTTCCATGCTTTGTTCACAACTAAAATTAAATATACAAAAAAAAAAAATAAAATATAAATGACTACAGGACATATATAAGTCAATTATATTCTTACTCTCAAATGCTTGTTGGGCTCTTTCAGCATCATCTTGGTTTTTGTCTGGATGTACCAAAATTGACATCTACATAAAATAATATTGGTAAAAAAGTCACGCAAGTGATTCGTCAAGAATACTTCAAGATTATTATTAATAAACCTACTCGACGATATTTCTTCTTGACTTCATCGATGGAGGTGGTCGGATCAATTTGCAAAACTTCAAAAGGATTCAAATTGAAGTACGAGGAACCAGGACGTAAGAGTCTATCAATTTGTTGCTTCGGAGTCAAGACAGAGTCCCTCTTCTCGATTTCCTTAACCTGAACAAACAATAAATCTATTGCGGCAAACGTGTTAATTATAAGATATATAATGCGAAAATTTACAGGTTAAGTCTGTAAAGAATCCCATCCCTAAGCAATAAAGAATCATATATGCGTTCATGCATATACTCATTATAAAGATCATAGTAAAAGGTACACCACCCGAAACTCAAACTTCCCTTGCATTAACCGTCCTCATTCACATTTCAGGATAAATATCGCTGACGTTTATCAAACCTGAAGAGGGACATTGTTGTTTTCACGATTACATAATGAGAGGAAGGTGCCACGTTCCAAATTACACAAAGCACCAACCAACACCGCCATTCCAAACAAAGTATAAAGTAACCTACTTCTGTATAAAACTCGTTAAATTCATCCTCTCTTTTCGCTGGAATTTCACTGGATAAACTCGAGTTGGAGGCAGCCATCTTGTTTCTTATCACACGCTCCACCGACTGTGCCTCCATCAACACAAATGGCCGCAAGTGCGTCAACTATATCCAAGAACTACAATATCCACAAGATGACTACTGTTACCGACCGTGAAAAAAAATTCATTCTTAAATCAACGTAGATTGGCAGGCGTCACTAGTGTAGCCCTTTAAAATTGCAGGGAAACTTCTGTTTCCTCGTGAGTTACCTGAAAAGCACGTGAAACTGGCGAGCCAGTCACAATGTCACAAATGGTCACAATGGATCACTATGTCCAGATTGACTTCGCGTGGTAAGGGTCTCGAGAGTGTATCGTGGCGTTTTCTTTTTGTGTCCGTATTTAGATCGATGGTAGTTACGTATGCACATTTTGGTTTGGTAGCTGATAGGGATCGACTTTCAACGAAGAAGCGGCGCTCGCAGACAAAATGCGTTTGGAAACGATCGGCTTTATTCAGTCGACTCAGTGGAGGCTACCAGTAATGCCGCCATTTACGTATATAGAGATAAGATCTTCGGACCAGGTCGTAGTAGAAACTGTAGATTACGACATTCCATCAAACTCCTTATTCCTTTGGAAACGACGCGTTACTTCCGCGACGAGTCGTTTATTTTGTTGTGCTCGCATACATGTATCTCTTTCTTTAGGCTATAGTCACTGCTATGGCTTATAAATATATATAACGTTTTCTTTTATTTTGATATGGCTGACGTTGCAACTAATAGCATGCGCGATATCTTCCCAGGTTTTATCGATGATTTTTATGTCACGAGGTTAGAGAAAGAAAGAGAGATATAGAGATGCATACACAAGTATACTATATAGCCCGTTAACGTACGCACGAAGGATTGGTACAAACATTTTTTTGTGTCGCTATAGTAAGTAGTGATTCTTGATAGAATACTTGAAATTCTGGTGCAAGGCTCAGACTTGATACTGGTATCTTGCGAAAAGAAAAATATAGGGATCACTAAGAATTTCTCTATCTGAGGCCATTCCTTGTAGTAACCCGACGATGCCTTAAAACAAGGGTGCTGTAATAGATAGTCCATGGTTAATCCTACCCACCAGTTTTCAAGATCTAATGGTTGAGGGTACCCAATACCACCTAGGCTACTTCTTTCCGTTCGCTAATTCTCCAGGACATGTGCAAAATTCACACGATAAAATCTCCCAAAATTACAGCGAGGATAATCCGAGCAAAGAGTTTTCTAGTCAGGCTGCTTATAGTAGTAAAGACTAAAATTCAACGATCACCAGAGTTAAGGGAATAAACGCATAAGAAAGGTTGGATATAGTGGCGCTTCGTGATAAACGAAAGGAGAAACCGCGAATTGCGCGTTCCGATGGTGAAGTATGTAGAAGAGAGTGACGTAGACATAGATAGCGAGTGAGACAGATCAGTGGACAGGCGATAGGAGAGGAAATCAGAGAGAGGGAGAGAGAGAGAAACAGCGGGATTAACAGCATGCGATTTCCCTCTAGGCAAAGCGTGTTGCCCCCACCCTCGTGGAATTTACCTCATTCCCTCCTAACCCTTCGCCTTTGTTACAGGCTGATTGTGAGAGCAGCAGTGGTTTCCCCCACCAGGAGTACCGTCACTCCCCCACTTCTGGCCTCTCGACCTCCCCACCAGCTATGATGTTATACCCCCTGCTAACAGCCACAGCTCACTCTGGAGCATTACTCCCACTCTGTGGGATATCTGTGCCCCTACCAGAGCGATCGGACTGCCACCCACCCTACTGCTCGGTCACTCAGAGGTAGGCGCCAGAAATTCGCCTCTTCGCTCCTTGGCTCGGCTGTGATCCCTTTGCTGAGCTTCAAGGCAGTATGCGCCGCGCTGCCTAGCCGGCACGTTCCTCTGCGTCGCTGCTTTATTCTTGTTGTCATCATTCGAGGTCGTCGTCTTTTTCGTCATTGCTCGTCATTCGTTATTTAGCAGTGCTCTGAAGAAGTACAGAACGACGCACGAGTCACTTGGAGATGGTCTCCTGTGATTTATTGGCAATCGTTGATCGATGAAGGTGATTTCTATTGGCAGCGTAATTTAGCGAATAATTGTGAGAACATTTTGGAGGTGAGAGGAGGGGACACAGGGCGATAGAGGGAGATAACGAGTATAGTAGTAGAGATTGAGAGCTATTGACAGAGGGAGAAAGAAAGAGAGAGAAGGTGTGAGTATAGAAAGGGCGAGAAAGGGTAAAGGAAAGAAATACCAAGTGAAGAAAGGACAGTGAGAGTTTTTAGTGGCAAGTCTCTAGTGGAAGGACTGGTACACGGATTCCGGGACATTGTCGGATTAAATGGAGCAGCTGTTTGTCGAGGAATAGATATTTCGCGGGAAAATTGAAAAGCCTGTTTTTTAAGATATAGTGAATGAAGAAGAGAATACACGTATTACGTCATCGTGTACTCGCGAATTGTGGCTGTGTTGAGAGATTAAGCGATTGGTGATGAAATACGTGAAATTAGATTCCCCACCTTTCTCAAGATAATCGAGCTGTATCTACGTCACGATCAAGCGGAAGATCTAAACGTACGCGGTGACCAAAGTGCGCAACGGATAAACTTTTCTACCAAAACATGGCCACGTGACCGCGACTCTCGACGATTGTAAACACACCGAGCGACCCACGTGGTACGACCTGGGATATTTTCAATTTCTCCCTTGTGATTCATCGCTATTCCTACAGCGACACTATTTCTAACGGCGTGGACCGTAGCCGTTGACGCACCGAAATTGACGCACTACAGTCTTCTTCAGAAGTTACATCCTCTTTCTTTGGCACGGCACATTGGCCATACGAATACAGGAGGCTCGTTTTAACGTGGTGCACAACTTTTATTCATGCGCCCTTGGGAACTTGATAAATCTTTCATTTCTTACTCTACCTGGCCGCCCTTGAACTCTGTGCACAAGGTGGTGAACATAGAGTGATTACCTATCCCCGGGGATCTCGGGTCAAGAATTCAGCCTATAGAGAAACTTCGACCCTTGGTGGTCGAGGATCGTCAGTCAAAGTGGAGTACACGGACGGAGTGAGCATGATGGACTCGGTACCGAGTTCAGGTTCCGGGTCGGGATCTGGTACCGGTACCGGTGGAGGAGTACCCTTCGACCTGGAGAACGGTTTCGAGCCACAGACCAGAGCGAGATCAAACACATGGCCTCTACCTAGACCGGAAGGCTACGTCGAGGGTAACGTCGTCGGTGGCGGTCCTGGTGGGAAAGAAGGCGTCGAGGGTGGTACACCACCTCAGCAAGGGCCACTGAGCCAGGGCGGCGGACTTCTTCCAGTGAAGAAGAATTCCTCACGAAGAAACGCCTGGGGCAATCTTAGCTATGCGGACCTGATCACTCAGGCCATCACCAGTGCTCCCGAGAAACGACTCACCCTGTCGCAGATCTACGACTGGATGGTTCACAACGTACCCTACTTCAAGGACAAAGGCGACAGTAACAGCAGTGCTGGATGGAAGGTCAGTCAAATAATCTGTCCCCTCAATGTCAAACATCGTACTTCATTCCAATACCCACTTCATCTACCCTGCAACAGAGTTGGTTACCTTACCTAGGTACCCTTAAGGTTTCCGGTAATTAGAAAAACACTTGGACCTCAATTTTTACTAACGAATCCATACGCTGAATAAAATGTACGAGGCTTCTCCGAAGTACGTGGGGTGTATCGACTCTCGTCCTACAATAATCCTCTTTAGCTTTGATCTCAAACTTTTTCTCTTCAAAGATCCAGAAGAGACGCGTACGCCAAAAGTGATGATCGCGATAAAGTTCGGCATTCGTACCAGCGTCCTCCTCATGGGCCTGAAGACTCAACCTGGACGATCGAAATCGATGCAACTTTTGTCCGAGCTTCACCGAAATATCATCACGCACAGTCCGTCCAGCTAGATTTTCCATGCGTGATATTATTCCACATACGTTCCGTCGTATGTGCACATATCCATAAGAAAACAGATAGAGCAACTATTCTAAACACGCAATTTAATCGACAATAACTGCTAACGTAACGTGTAGCTACATTTGACGTGAAGCTTCGAAAGAGAGGGTAATATTCCCAGGCACTCGATTGCCTCGACTTTTCCACCAAGGTCGCGAGAGGTTAGAAACTCGACGTAAATCGGCTGAAAGCCGTGAACGTCGCCGAACTATTGCGCGGAGAATCACGGGGCGTCACGTGGTTTCGGCACGCCGTAACGCGCTCTTGCTTAGTCTAGCTACATACCTGAGTTTATCCACTGCATATTACATATCTGGCTACGCCTTTGAATATCACCAGCTAAGAGACTCACGTTACTCGGGCACTAGCAGCAGCAGCAGCAGCAGCAGCAGCAGCAGCTATGAGATTAGTTTGAGCAATACTTGAGGTAGATTTGCATGCTGCCTTCAGCGAGGGGCCGGTCTAACCTCACGCGACTGGATAACGCTCGAAAGTGCGTCCGTTGCGCGCGTGCAAATTGCTCGACAGGCTGGCAACGTGACGCTCGCGGAAATTCGGCGGCTCGCAGATTCTAGACCAGCAGTAATAGACAGAGACAGGCAGCACGCGTGGAAACGCTACTTACACGTGGTGCATCGGTGCTTCTATAGACGGAGGTTTCAAGCGGGCTTAATACTAACGGTTGGATCTTCGTATTATCCCGTCGCGGGGGGTCGATTCTTATATTCCTTAGGGACTCTCTCTCTCTCTCTCTCTCACTCAATATATGGTATATATGAATACTTTACATACCCGTGACTCGTTCAGGCGGCTCTTACTACTCTCGACCTCGCGAGCACACAGGATACTCAAGACGAGGGAACTTTTCATCACTCGTACGAAGGGAGAGTATCGGAGAGCAGGAAAGGGAGGGAGAGAGAGAGAGAGAAGGAGAGAACGAGCTGAGTAAAGCCGGCTTACCAAAATCCTGTATCGTGCTCTCGCAATTCTCCCTCCCTCTCTGTCTCTCTCGTAACACGTTAGATACACGTTGGCGAAAGTGTGTCAAGATTCCTCCTACGGTTTCGCCCTCGTCGCCTCGACGACGATCCCGATTCCCAAGGGATAGGAGGGAACAAGATTTGCCGGATCTACAATTGGTCCATATCCTGTACCACACGCATTGACACGCATTGACACGCACTTGGCGATGCTTCGAGGAATCCTGAGGAATCAGCATAGCGCGCAATCCGTGTTTACGCACGGGATACGCAGTTAGCGTTTTAAGCCAGATGTTAAATTAATAGCGCACAAGATTTTAAGCAATGTACTCGCGACTTGTGACTCGATCGCCTTAACGGCCAAATCTTCCGAGGCTAAGAGTGAAATAAAAAAGCGTGCGAACTCGAGCGACTGGCGAATGCGCGGGAGGACACGGCGCCGCCGCCGCCGCCGACGCCGCGTAGAACGCAGGAAAGCAGATAACCGAGCCGAACCTCGTAGAAGAGGATTTATCAGAGCGAGAGTCTGCTCGGCGTGGCGGCGTGAATTTAAGCGGGCTTTCCGCGTTATTTTTGCACGGCCGGCACTCCGCGTGGTTGCCGGGTCTACCCGGGCGCTGCTCCCACGTTGCCGATATCGTCCTGGGGTCATCTCGCTCCACCTACTACCCGCAGGGAGGGAGGGGAGGGGGGGGGGGCCTCTCCGTGCCTCGTCCTCGTCTTCTTAATTTCCATTCTCGTCTCTGCTTCTTCTCTTGGAATATGCATGTAACGTGCAACACGTAGACGCACATATACTTTGCTAATTTCTTGAAGATGCGCGACATCTTAGCGCGGCAATCGCCCCCCCCTCCCCGAGTACACATTATGCGTCAACGTACTTCGCCGCTGTACAGGATATATCGCATGTACGCGGATTCCCGTCGGCACAGCCGTCGGAGGGTGCGCGCGCAGCCTATGGCGCAATAGCCGGCTTCGGAGAATTCGAATTCCAGCGGGACTGCACGCCCGGCATGTTCAATCCTGTTCACGGGTTCGGGACGGTCGGTCGGCGTATCCACCTTGCCTGGAGCAAGGCCGCGATTTCCTCCTGGCAAATTGCGACAGGGATCCCCGCGCACGCTTCGGGGTCTACCGCATTTTAACGAAGAGGACCACCTTTCTCCTCTTCAATTTCTCACCTCGAGTAACTTTCCAAGCAGGAACGGTAACGCCGCCCGACGTTAGCAGCGCCTCTGGCTGCACTTGCTCGTGGCCCCAGGTGCGTATCTGCGATCCTGGCGGGAAAAAGAGGAACCTGTAGGACGGATCGTGCACAGAGCGCGGCCACCGCGACGCTGCTCAAACTTCCTCGGAGAGGGATCGCACGTCAGTACGGACAGCAGGTACTATTACAGTAGGTCGGGAAGGTATGTGCGAGGGTGACGTAATGGGTGTGCGGGCAGGTACGTAACCGCTGCCTTCACGTAACGTTACCCTTGACTCTACTAGGTGAGCAGCATTGCAGCTCGTTACGAAGGCGCGCGATCGCGCCACACGCGTCCACGAGGCGCGCGCAGGGATACTGGCTCATTGCATTGGCTGCCGCGTGGAATTAATCCGCGACACGCACCCCGCCGTGCGAACAGTAAATATTCCTCAAAGGTGCCCCGGAGCTCCTTGGCTCTTGCATTGCGCAATCACGTCACGTGGGACTCGCGCGCACACTGACAGGTTACGAGGGTCGTGTACAGGTATTATATTTGGGAAAGAAGAAAAACATATCGAAAGTAATAATTAAAGCAGCGCATTTCCGTCGTTCCTACGAACCGATCCTAATGCCTGTATCACACGGACGATCAAAGAATCTCCCATGCGAACTCCTGACGCTCGACGTTGGAATATCAATCCTCCTATCGGTATTCCATAATCATATTTGGCCACCGGCTTACCATGCGTTCGCGCGTATCGCGGGCCCTGGAGGTGTCTCTCCACCACTTTGCCGGTTTACGTATACAGACGCGAGTATACACGGTGATCCAATCCGATCCGATCCCCGATTCGAGGCAATGACCTCGCGTGCCATTTATTCCTGCCCCTCTTCTCCGATACGTCCTTCTCGACCGCCACTCTGTCACACCAGCTCCGTGTCCCAAGCTTTTTAGACTGATCTCTCTCTCTCTCTCTCTCTCTCTCTCTCTCTCTCTCACTCACTCTTTCTCTCTCCCTTCCCCTTACGCTTACCACCACTCCCCGTGCAGCGACTCCTCTCTTCTCGAGACTCTCTCTCTCTCTCTCTCTCTCTCTCTCTCTCTCTCTCTCTCTCTCTCTCTCTCTCTCTCGCTCCCTCGGCCAGCGCGCAAACGTTAAAACACGACTACCAGCATGTTCCCTTGCGATCGTCGTTACGCAGCGCGTCGCTCCGTAGCGTCGTTGTCCATTCGTGGCGTCCTTGTGAAACGCGCGCAGCGCCTATGGCTCTCTCGCACACATCGCGACACGCAGCGAGACTCGATTGTCAAATCTTGACGCAATTGTCGAACCGTGGATGGCCCAAGGACCAGCGTGTGGATGTGGCGCTTGCTTCTACTCTCGTATACATATGTATAAGTACGTTCGGAGCGTCGAATGGGAGAAAAAGTAGAACGTGCCCGCCGGGTTATTAAATAGGTCTGTCTATTTGGAATCCGAATCGGATCTCCGAAGATCTGGATTTCCGTTGGCGGCTCTTCCGTTGGAAATTCAGTAAGATACGGCAATAACGATACTTCGTAGGTAGGTCAGGTAGAATGTGACTGGGTGCACCACCGGGCAGTATCGTTTGCTGTGCTAACAACCAATTTAGCAATGACCGCAAGGCTCGTTCTCGTAGGTAGTAGGTAGTAGTAGGTAGTAGTAGGTAGTAGTAGGTCAGTCTCCTGTTGTGAACTCTTACTCTTCAGGGCTCTTGAACCCGCGCGACAAGCTGCTACGGCGGGGCCCACCAATACGTTGGATCCCTTTGTGCACGTGCAGGGAGGTCGTGCGTCGCGACGCCTCTCGCAGACTCGTAGGTAAGGGACACGCACTGATAAGTTGCGCACGTGCTGGTACGTGGCCCAGAGTCGTGTGCGTCGCTCCGTGAGCGGGTAAGCAAGTGGCAAAGCGGCAACGTAGCGAGAGCAACAGGTCGCTCGAGGGTTCTTACCGTATAGTAAACGTCGAGCTCTCCTTTCTCTCTCTCGACTCTCCTTTTTTACACTTCCCCCTTTCTCTCTCTCTCTCTCTCTCTCTCTCTCTCTCTCTGTATATTCGTATATTCGTTCTTCCCGATAGCCTCATTCGCATTTCGTCTCCGTTGCCGATCGACGTTCTTGCTCGGCTACTGGGATAATCGTCCTCGTAAAAAGTCAGGCTCGTAAGCACTGGGGCGATCAGGCAGGGATAAGTCTGGCTGCTGGACGAAACCGGAAGTCCATGACGCCACGTGCTCGCCTTCGGTCTCGTTTCTGTCCCGGGACTTTATTATTCGCTGTTCCACTACCAGCGAAATGCGAGATGCTGTGGAAAGTCCTGGGGCAAC